AGCTCTGGAGCAGGCAGGAAGACAAAAAAAAGACAAGGGGGGGGGAGACTACCCTAGCGACTTGTGCTGAGTCAGAGTTACTATATCCACCACTTGTGTTTCTGCTTGTGCAAGATGTTGTGCAAGCAATTTTTCAGCACTATAGGGAGGAAAGTGTTAGATGATGCAGAAGAGCATGCAGTGGCGGAACTGAGCTAAGCCCATTTATGTTTCTGCTTGCACATTGCTTGATCCAATCCAGTAAGAGGTCACTTACCACAGTTTCTTTCATCAAGTCCATTGAGGCAATCTTTGATCCCGTCACAAGCTGGGACACACAGGCCATTCACAGAACAAAGGGCCTCCCGAGGGCATGCTTTAAAACAAAAGAAAGAGAAAGTTTGCTAAATCAAAAATCATCTCAATGACTGGAAGGCATTATAGCTGCATCTTATATAGTTTAGAGTTATTTATTCAAATCCCATTTGTACCGCAAACATATCCATTATAAAATGTGGAGACATGAGAAGGAAAGATGGACTCACAGCCTTTCCAAAACACACCTGCATTGCATGATAATATCAAACTGCCAAACTTCTGTCTAGTGTGGTGAAGAATTAAGAACTTCTTGCCTAAAATACATTTTAAAAGCCTGGAACACTGACTGTGAGATTTGATGATGACCAATATACGGGAAGTATGACAAGCTGCATTGCTGTAATTTAATACTTACACTTAGATCAATGGGTCCGATCAGGTTTGACACATAACTGGTTTTAGTTTCGAAGAAGCTTAACCTTATGTCTAGCAGACCCAAGTTGGAGTGTTCACATTGCTGTGTGTTCAGTACTTGCAAGTGAACCCCAAGAAGGCTAGGCTTCCACTGGAAATTCTAATTTGCACACTATTGTGTTTATCCTAGAGTCACAACGACATTTTGTCAGACTCATTCTGGCTTCTCTGATGCCAGTTTATTTATTTACTTCACTTATAGCCTACCTATCTCACTGAGACATTTGAATATACCATGGGAGATCCAGTTGTGGGGGACTCTAATCTGTAGTTTTATTCTTACAGCCATTTCACTATACTAACAGTCTTAGGTTTGCCACTGAGTGTACACTCTGAGAACTCCGGGATGGTGTTCCATAACACACTTGTTTAAGGAATCAACTTTAATAAGAAGAAGAAGAGGAGGAGGAGGAGATTGGATTTATACCCCGCCCTTCACTCGGGGTCTCAGAGCGGCTTACAAACTCCTTTCCCTCCCCCTCCCCACAGCAGACACCCTGTGAGGTAGGTGGGGCTGAGAGAACTCTTTCAAGAACTGCCCTTTCACAGGCAGCTCTTATCAGAACTATGGCTTGCCCAAGGTCATCCAGCAGCTGCAAGTGCAGGAGTGGGGAATCAAACCTGGTTCCCCCAGATTAGAGTCCGCGCACTTAACCACTACACCAAAAAAGTTTCTGAGTGGTGTCCAGATAGGGTGGCCACCCTCCAGGTGGGGCCAGAAGATCTCCCAGAATCTCTTGAAGAAAAATGGCAGCTTTGGAGGGTGGGCTTTACGGTATCATATCCTTGCTACACTCCTGCCCCTTCTCAAACTCTACCCTCCCCCCCGGCACAACCACCAAATCTCTAGGAATTTCCAAACCCAGAGTTGGTAATCCTATCTCCAACACAGATCTTAAGACAGTTACAACTGGTAAGCAGTCAACTCCCCCCAGAACACAGAATAACAAGAAACAATACAGAACCAGTCCAAACACTTAATTGTGCAACAGCACCCCCCACTGGCAGGGATGATTATATAACATTACAGTACATAGTCATAACCATACTTTACATTTGTCGGAATAGACCTTAAACATATAATGTGGGAAATGGACCCTCAATCTACTTTAGGTGATACAGAGAGCTCTTCCAGCCCTCATGTTCCCCGGCAATGGCAGACTAAACCTGGCAATACCTCAAAAAGAGGACCTGTTACCCTTGGGGACTGCAGTTACTAAGTAGCCGTCAAATCCCTGTACTGATCATTGTGGAGGAGGAGGAGGAGGAGAAGAATTGGTTTTATACCCCGTTCTTCACTACCTGAAGGAGTCTTGGAGTGGCTTACAATCACTTTCCCTTCCTCTCCCCACAGCAGACACCCTGTGAGGTTGGTGGGGCTGAGAGAGTTCTGAGAGAACTGGGACTGGCCCAAGGTCACCCAGCTGGCTGCATGTGGAGGAGTTGGGAATCAAACCTGGTTCTCCAGATTAGAGTCCATTGCCCTTAACTACTACACCAAGCTGGCTATTGGTCAAAGTATCAATATTGCTCACATCACGTCTTGTAAATATCGTAATCTGGGATGCTGAATCAGCATGCCAAGTGTGGATAAAAAGACTCCACCGTCTTCAAACATTCAATCATTATGTAGGAGCCGCCACTACCACTACCACCACTACCAGCGGCGTTGGCAACAAATGGGGCAAGGAGATCGCCCTACGGAAGATCTGGCCACAATACAGCGCTGGGTTGGTACCGCTGGACCGGACAGTTTAACATCTACTGAACACTACCTACCTCCATGAAAAACCACCAACCTCTAATGAATGACCATCCTGTTTAAATTTGAGCACTTTATTTGTAATATTCATTGGTTTTTACTGTTTTTATCCTGTTTCTATGCATGGGCATATCTTGCCCTCTTGTAAGCCGCCCTGAGCCCGTTTGCGGGGAGGGTGGGGTATAAATACAAAAATAAATAAATAAATAAATAAAACCATGCCCTAGCTGCGAAACCTCTCACATAAGTTAATCACTCCCCCTGCCCTTCCAAGTGGTGAAAAACTGTGGCAAGGATCTCCAGCAGGTTGGCCATGAGCAGTCAGTAGCTCGTCAGCTGCTGCAGAATAGTTTGTGAATCCCTTAGAGGGCCCAAGAGGGCTTTGCAAAAAGATCTGCTGCGGGCTTTTAAAAAACCTTTTATTTCACTGGGTTTTTCTCTGTGCTCCTTAGCTGATAGCTAGTGCTTTCTTTAGCCCGTGTTCTGTTTCTAGAACAGAACAAACTTGATAACATGCTGGTGTGTCTGTGTGATGAAATACAAACCGGGAACACAGTGGGTAACACTAGCGTAAACAACGCAGCGCCATGTATAAACAATGTGTTGTATTCTGTTTTGAAATCATTCTAACAGGTAACACTCACATACAACCATATGCTGTGCTTTACAAGTAATATTGCAATCTCAGCTGTGCCTGTTTAAAGATATATACATCAATAATGTCAGTTTCTTCCTGCTAACATGGTTCTCAAACACTTAACTTAGAATTACTTCAACCAGGTGTGTCTGTCTGTGCATGGGAGGGAGCATTTCTCATGACTCAGAAGCAATATGTTGGTGATCCCTGGCATGGGGTAGCACTATACAGTTTAGAGAAGAGAGAAGAGATTAGAATTATACCCCACTCTTCATTAACCAAAGGAGTCTCAGAGCGGCTTACAATCTCCTTTCTCTTCCCCTCCCCACAACAGAGGTAGGTGGGGCTGAGAAAGCTCTTTCAAGAACTGCTCTTGAGAGGACAGCTCTGAAATAACTTGTGACTGACCCAAGGTCACACCAGCAGCTGCATGTGGAGGAGTGGGGAATCAAACCCGCGCTCCTAACCACTACACCAAACTAGATAGCTAGATGACAGAACACAGGAGCCTTACACCATTGTGGAACATATTTTGTATTTACAAATATATAAGCAGAGAAAAATGAAAGCAAATAAGCACAGGCAGGAAAGCTACCAATCTTACAACTGATCCTCAGAGCAATGGAGCAGACCCCTTGTGGCTCTCCCAGTGGTTTCCAGGCCAGCTGAACCCAAAGCTCTTCCACACACACTGTTCCCAGAGCCTGACTTGCTACAGAGAGTTTCTCAGCTCCTCCCAGGAGCTCTCAGTAAAGTCACATTCGGAACATAGGGGAAAGAGCTTTCCAGGCCATTAAAAAAGGCGTCCTTCGTCATTAAGGAATATTAATGTTCTTTTCAGTCCCTTACTACCCATTAGTCTGTCAGGTGCAACCACGGCAACAGGCCCCTGATTCATACTAATCGGCAGCCAAACTCGTAACAACGGTGTGATTTAACTGCTCTGTAATATTTCACAGAACTGAGCTGAATTGCATTTTTGAGGAGGTAGTACTCACGGTCAGATTGATTATATAGGCTGTAAGCAGCCTGCACTCCAGGCCCGGTAAGGGTGATCTGAGAGGTGAAGTTGATGGTGATGCCAGCACTGGACATGACAGGAATCCTTTCAGCATAGGCTTGCAAACTCCGCAGGCCGCACAGCCTAGTTTTCAAAACAAAAGTAGGACAAATACCCCTGAGTCTTTCAGTAGTTGTTGCCTTCAAGCCGCGTGGGAATAATGGGTAAGAGTGGCAGGCTCTAATCTGGAGAACTGGGTTTGATTCCCCACTTCTCCACATGAAGCCTGCTGGGTGACCTTGGGCCAGTCACAGTTCTCTCAGAGCTCTCTCAGCCCCCCATACAAAGCCCGCTGTGGGGAAGGGAGAGAATAGGATTGTAATCTGCTTTGAGACTCCTTAAGGTAGAGAAAAGCAGGGGATAAAAACCTACTCTTCTTCTTCAACACATTTTATGAAGATTGTTTCAGGGAGGTAGCTGCAGTAGAAACGCTAGATTCAGGTTCAGATTCAGCAGCACCTTAAAGACCAACACGATTTCCAGGGGCTAAGCATCCAAGAATCAATACTCCTCTCTGGGTCAGGGTCAGGGAGTGTTGACTGAGAAGCTTATACCCTGGAAATCTTGTTTGTCTTTAAGGAGTGACTGGACTAGAATCGAACACATTTTATGACACTGAAGACGGACAGGTTGTTTAAAAGTGAGGTTAAGAGCTAAACTGCGCACGATGCTGGAGATGATGAACAGACTCTTGGATGTAGATCAAGATGGGTAGCTGCGTTTGCCTGCCTATAGCAACAGAAAAGAGTAAGAGTTCAGTAGCATCTTAAAGGTAAAGGTTCCCTTGCTCGAAAGCCAGTCAAGTCCGACTCTAGGGTTGCGGTGCTCATCTCCGTTTCAAAGCCGAAGAGCCAGCGCTGTCCGAAGACGTTTCCATGGTCATGTGGCCGGCATGACTACACACCAAGGCGCACAGAACGCTGTTACCTTCCCACCGAAGTGGTCCCTATTTATCTACTTGCAATTTCTTGCTTTCAAACTGCTAGGTTGGCAGGAGCTGGAACTAGAGACGGGAGCTCACTCCGTCATGCGGCAACTTGGGTCTTGAACTGCTTTTGTGAGTCATGGCTCACTTAGAAAGCTCATCCCCTGCCACAAATTTTGTTAAGACTCCTGGATGGTCTTGTTTAGCTTCAAAAGACAGCTGTTGAGAGGGGTGGCATTGAGCTAGGGAGAGAGGGAGAAAGACAGTGCCAGTAGTGTAGTGGTTAAAGCACTGCTAAGATCCGGGAGATCCAGGTTCAGATCTCTAGACTGCCATGGAAGCTCACTGGGTCACATACACTCTGCCTAACCTACCTCACAGGATTGCTGTGATGGTGAAACGGAGGAGGGAAGGACAATCTGCAGCCACCTGAGCTCCTTGGACAGGGTCAGGGATAAAAATGTACACATCAATACAATCACAACTGCCGTCCCAGGATACCTGTATTGTGCCTGTCCTTTCCCCTCTATTGGGGCAAACGAAAGCTCAGAGACAGCAGTTTTGATCAGGAAAGTGGTGTATGGGGAAAGCCCCCTCCCTCCCCAGCCCCATGACCCTGATCCATATAAACCCCCTCTCAAGTGCTTGTTGAGGCTAAGTGCCAAACTAGACATGATGCCTGGAGTGCCACGTTTGGAGTTCCAAGGCATTTTTTAAAAAAAAAAAAATATAGCAGGCACACAGGATTTAAACCTCCTTCCCTGCGCCATTTTCATGACCCGAAATGGCCCCCGCCAAACTAGTATATGTAATTCACTGGGGCAGATGTGCAGACAGCACAAAGAGTGCCAGTGAGTTTTCACCAAACGGCAGTTTTATGGGGCCAGTTCAGATCATGAAAATGGACTGGAGGATCGTGCTGCAGTCATGATCTGCAGACTGATAGAACAAAGTGCTTGAGCATATCAAAGTATATTATAACATACAACGATATTAAAGCAGATACTAATACACAAAAGAATGGTAAATTTCAGGTGAAGGTGAACTTCTATCAAAATGCAAGTGAATCAGTTGCAATCAGAAGAAATCGTTTCGCCTCTTCATCAGAAAAATCCCTATGCTTGTCTAGTTTCATTCATACCACAGTTTGACATATCATATACAAATCTTCTCCTGGTTTTTCTACCATAAATACATTCTTAAAACAAACGTTTCGCCGGGCGTGACTTAGTGGCGTGATGTCTCTAAAAAGCAGCCCTGTTGGCAGAAATCCAACCAATGCAGATTTCTTTTGACAAGGAAAGGGCAAGCTACATCTCTTGAATGTCTGCCTGTCATGCAGCCATTAAAAGAACAGAGCCAGAAAGGAAAATACCAAGGAGATGATGCAGCAGGAGCAGATGGAGAGAACATTTCCTAGCTGCTGCCTTCTTGAAAGATGGTTAATAAAAATAAAAGAAATACAGAAACCTGGGAGAGAATTCTGACCCACTGAAATACGAACTGTATTGTACGTGAAGAAGGCCATTTCGCTTAAGGACCATTAAGTACACATGCCAACGTGGTATTTGTTTACCTTCTGTTCTGGATGGTCCACTGTCCTTGTGTACATGGCTGATCACTTCTCTGTCTGCTGAGAGTGTAAGCATCAAACCAAAGGACAACTCCATATTCCAGAGACGGAACCTGCGGAAATGGAAATGTCCATGAATAGAGTTTGCATCACAGTGCCCAAGAAGAGCACTCCCCATTCAGCCCAGGTTTCTCAAACAGATAAATAAGAACACATAAGGGAGAGGTGGAAAGTCTATGTGTGGCCTCATTCAGACAACCTGACTAACAGAGGTAACTTGTTCTCATGCTTGCACAGTGCCCTCACTCCATGGAGCACAACTGAAGGCTTATGGGTTTGGGAAGCCATGAATCAAGCTTGCCATGATGTTTGAATATAGGTGCCTGAATTAACGAGTTTGTATTCTCTCTTACCAACTGGACTTCCACTTTGGAACTGGGGGGAACAAACTCCAGTTCACTGAGAGGGAAGGGGGAAGGAGTGAGGGGAGCATGTAGGAACAAGCTCCATCCGTGTCTGATAGCACCTTGATCTCAGATTGTTGTACAGTCTGAACATAGAGACACAGTCCAAGCCAGCGGTTGTCGGGCCCTGCTACAGGCAACACCGCGTTTTCTTGGATGCTGGTCTAGCAGGTCTAAAAAGGACAGGATCCGCAGTTCAAAAGCACCTGTGCTACAGAAGGCCCTGAGTTCAGTCTCCAGCATCTCTGTGGCTGATGTCCGGCAGCAGGTTTGGGAAGGCCCTGAATAGCCAGCGTGGACCTTTCAGGACACGAGGGACAAACAGTCTGACTACACAGATGGCACTTTCAAATGCTAAGGGAATTGGGCAAACCAAGAAAACACAGGTACCTTCCTTTAAGCGCATTGTTCATGAAATGATGATTTCCTTGTTACGGTATTATTTTTTCAAGTTCACATGCAGCCTATTTTTGTGTGGGAAAGGGACAAGAAGATCTCACCATCATGTGCCAAGTGCACTGCGTGTTGGGCGCATAGTAACTGGGGTAGTAGGGAGTCTTGATGTTCCCTTGAATTTCCAGGCTTTCCCGCAGCGTCAGATTCATCTGGCAGGCTGAAAAGACAGAAATGTTCTCACGCCAGATGAACTGCAGAAAAACATGTTGCTTGTGTTTATTCTCCCGATTCACAGCGAGAGGCTGCTTCTAAGGATGTGGTGTGAAATTTTCACTTTAAGCAACACCTTCCATGTCCAAGGCTCCCTCTAAGCTGTGGAGTCCTGTGAGCAAAAATTCTACTTGGTGAGCTCCTGGCATTAAAGTTGTGAGCGAGCGATTTGGCTGCTGCATGAATTAGTTTGCTCTGGAGCCCTATCCTTCCTGAGCTAAGATAAAAATGTGTGAGCCGGAGGCTCAAAAACTGTGAGCTCGCTCACACTAACTCAGCTTAGAGGGAACACTGTCCATGTCCTATTTGGGGGGAAATCCAGTGTGTTTTTTCAGCGTTCATCAGAAAGGCAGACAGGTGTGTGTCCCTTTCTAGAGCTCAAGGAATAATTTGCTATGGACTGTCAATTAGAATAAGGTTGTCGTTTTGGCACCCTGAGCTCCCAGCTTTGCATCCCAGTCCAGGAAGGAGGAGGTGAGGAGGGCCTTCCTTCCAATAGGACCAGAAGAAAAATGCCCTGTCCCTTTAACCACAGTTTAATGCATGGAAATGGGCAGCTGAAGCTTTTCGTGGCAAAACATTCCCTTGCTATGTGCTGCAGATCAAACTGATATTACAGGAACAGCTAGAGGGACCCACTTAAAAGTTGGCAACCCTCCTTATCAGTGCAGCCAAAAAGGAAGCCGTGTTCTCTTCTGGCTTATAGGAATGAAACAAACCACTAAGTAATGAAGGAACGGCCTGAAGTCCATTTATTTTCCTTTCAGCAAATGTGTATCCTCTTGCCAGTTTGGAAAGATAATAACATTTGCCACAGAACTTGAGAAATGTGGCCTTGTCCCTGCTGCGATGACAGAACTATACATGAAATGCAAAGCAAAACCCTGAACATGCACCGTATTGAAAGTCACTCTCGTCTTGCCCATTGATTTAGTATAAGGCAGCCAGATATCCTGTCTTCTTATTGAATGGCTGTCCCTATCTCAGTGTTCTCTTCCAGAGAAAAGTGGATTCCTGTAGCAAGCTGTTGTGTAACTTGCTGCACTGCACTAAACATCAGTTTGTGAAATCTCAGCTATAATGCTGGTAACTGAAAAACAGACTGTAAAAATATGTACAATGATTTGCAAGGGGAGCTAATGGCTAGATCAGGGGTGTCAAACATAAGGCCTGGGGGCCGGAACCGGCCCATCCAGGGCTCATATGCCGCCTGCAAGCAACTAGAGGAAAGGAGGGACTGTTCGTGGGGGAGTGGGCAGAGCCACTCTGACTGTGGCTTCAGCGTGGCAGAACAACCTTGTCTGCAGCAGTCAGCAGCGTGGGAGCGTCTGCCCAGTGCTGGACCACTGGCTCTCCAGTCCGCCCATATGGGTTTTCCTTTGCGCCCCCTTTCCCAGCCCATGGGGCCTTACAGTGAGGATACACAACTCAGCGCTTACCAGCTGCTGTTCTTTATGCAGTTTATATCTCCAGTACCTAGTATTATGTTTTATGGCTCACATGGCCTTTGCCTGGCCCCAAAAAGTGACATTTATGTTAGATCCGGCCCCCATATCAAATGAGTTTGACACCTCTGGGCTAGATAAATGTTCCCTTTGTGCCATCTCTACACACCTGTGCCCTCATCCACTTCAGTCCTTCTGTCACTGTGATCTTTTCTTACCTTTAAAGGGCATAGCCTGGGCTGAGAGTATGAACGGATCATCGTAGCTGTACATCCCCTTCTTCCAGACCACAGACATGACAGGTCCTGAAGAGAGGACTTCTACCACGGGTTCCTGACGACTACAGCCATACAGCCTGAGGCAGAACATGAAGACACAGGAGCATTTGTATTGACAAGCTGGAAAGATTTGGAGAGAAGATGAAGGGCACTTGGAAGTGTACGTCTACCCTCCAAATGAACCATTTTCTGCAGAGGAACTGATCTCTGTCAACTGGAAACCAGCTGTAATTCCAGGAGAACACCAGGCACCACCTGGAGGTTGGTAACCCTACCACAGGGCCTTTCTTCAGGAACCAGCCTCAGCAGAGGGAAGGACTTTTTCAGCTGTTGTCTCCCAACTTGGGAATTCTCTCCCTAAGAAGTTGAGAGCAGCCACCTGCCTAAAGGGTTCTGGGTGGGTTTGAAGAGCTGCCTTAGAGCCTCTGAATTGGATTAGTAAGAAATAGAGTGGCACAACTGGAAACTGAATCGTCTTGATTTTTATTGTACTTCAAATTAATTAATGTTTTTATTTTACAGCATTTCTATCCCACCTTTCTGCCTTCACGACAGCCACCACGGCAGCTTAACAAATTAAAACATACATAGTAAAAGCCCATTTTAAAATCATTAAAACCAACTAAAAACCAACAACAACCTAGCAGCATTATCATTAAAGCATTTAAAATCAGAGCTAAAAACAGACAAAGTCATGAAAACAACAATTAAAACAATTAAGTGAAATTTTATTCTATTTTACTGGTTTTTTTACTTGTTTTTTCTTGTATTTTAATTGTGTTGTAAATACCCCCTTGGGGACTTGAAAGGCAGTTTATAAATCAATACAAACAAGCTTAACTATGAGGGAGGGGCATATAGTCATACTAGATATAGAAGCTTCAACTCTTAACTCAAACATTAAAGGCTTTTCTTACCTTTAAAGGGCATAGCCTTGGCTGAGAGTATGAACAGATCATTGTAGCGGATCGTAAATTTATTTTTATGTAATCTTTACTGTTTTGTCTTTTTAAATATTTGAAAATTACTGAAGCACGAGGGATATAAATGTTTTCAATAGTGAAATAAATAAAACCACCAATTGTTACCAATTTAGGGGAAATGTTTAAATTATACGATACTGCAAATGTCCAAAATGGAAATAAGTACTAATCAAGCAGATATGGAAATAGTCCAAACAGATACTCCCATTTGATTTTTTGATTTGGAAATTTTTCTTCTAAGTACTAGATCCAGTTATTAATGTTGACCTAAAGAGCATGGGCTTGGTGCTTCTACTGAATCACTGGCCTTCCCTTCATAAGGCTTCAGTGGAATAAACCATGTTTTTGGGTCAACTATGAGAAGCTGTGGTGGCTCAAGGGGTTAAGATGCTGAACTGCAGGCTGTGGAAGGTCGGTAGTTCAGGAGTTTGAGACCCGGGTGCCGCATGATGGAGTGAGCTCCCGTCTCTAGTTCCAGCTCCTGCCAACCTAGCAGTTCGAAAGCAAGAAATTGCAAGTAGATAAATAGGGACCACTTTGGTGGGAAGGTAACAGCGTTCCGTGCACCTTGGTGTTTAGTCATGCCGACCACATGACCACGGAAACGTCTTCGGACAGCGCTGGCTCTTCGGCTTGGAAACGGAGATGAGCACCGCAACCCTAGAGTCGGATTCGACTGGCTTTCGAGCAAGGGAACCTTTACCTTTACCTTTATGAGAAGTGTATCATATATTTATAAACCAACATGAACAGCTGGAGATCAGCACCACATCTTCATATAAACATGAAGCTGACAGCCTGTGTGGCTTTGCACTCCTGCGGAGTTTTGCTTAAACTGGACCTGAAGTGGATACAAGGTGTACCACATCAGCATGCGGGTGCAGCATCCACCCGATGCGAGCTACGAATCGCTGGTATTCTAGCACTTACAGCCATATTGAAATATGCCCTGTTTCAACATGCTACCAGCCAGCCTGTACAGCAGGTGGCATCTAAAAAAAGAAAAGAAAAATGAGAGTAGTGAATATTTGATAGAACAGAGAGCAATCTGCAGATTTTAACTTTGTTTTTCTTTGAATCTAGCCCCATGTCCCAGCAAAATGTTTATCCAATTCCTTCTGTAGGCATTTTACTTCACCCAGGCTTTATCATTTCCTGATAAGCTTTCCGTATCATATATTTATAAACCAACATGAACAGCTGGAGATCAGCACCACATCTTCATATAAACATGAAGCTGACAGCCTGTGTGGCTTTGCACTCCTGCGGAGTTTTGCTTAAACTGGACCTGAAGTGGATACAAGGTGTACCACATCAGCATGCGGGTGCAGCATCCACCCGATGCGAGCTACGAATCGCTGGTATTCTAGCACTTACAGCCATATTGAAATATGCCCTGTTTCAACATGCTACCAGCCAGCCTGTAAAGCTGCATGGCTGCTTCTGTCCTGGCAAGAGCCCATTTAAATCAGGCCTGGACCAGCCTAAGAGAGATTTCCTTGATCACTGAAAATGATCTTTCCTCCCCTTGCCCCTTCTAGATTACAACGCTTAGGTCAACAATTTCCAGGGGGACATCACTGGGAAGGGGACGGGCTTTTAACATACATACCACCCCCCTGCAATCTCTCTCCCAATTGCTACATTCAAGCTGTTTATATCTAAGCTAAGGAATATTTACCCATATTTTTCCAGTAGTGGGAGGTGATCGAGGGGAGGGGGGTAGCATGGGAGAAGGGTAAAAAAGCCCTCTACTTCTCCAGCTACTTCTGCAGATTACAGGAAAGACGTCTGTTAAAATGGTCACAGAACAGCATGACATGTATAGGTTCCACCTTTGCACTCTGTGTATGAGTAGAGCTGGCACCTGGGACTGTAGTGGGTATGCCCCCACAATATCAAGGCTACCTACGAAGTGATGAGTTGCTTCTCCAGGGGCCCAGCGACGTCATACATAGCCAACCGGTCCCTGCATTCCGAGAGGGTCCACTCCAGTCGCAGCTTGACCATGTGACCTTTGGGAGCATGAAGATGCCACAGACAACTGGAGGCCAGGTAATCTGGGCGCTTCAGCCTTAGGGCTTTGTCCGCCATGATGTAGCTGTATCTGTAGCAACCTGAGCAGACAAAGACAAACTGAGTTGCACACAGCACTGCTAAAGTACAAAAAAAAACAACAAAGTAACTTTGAGGAAAAGGCTCTGATCAGACACTCTTCCCATCAATACAAGAGATGAAGGCAAAAGGATACAGTGATGTTGGAAGTGCTGCATTAAGCCAGCTGATTGCACTGTGGTTGTGTTTTGTTGTATGGTGGCCCCAGTCTACTTTTACTAGCTAAATCCATGCTAATCATCTTAATGACAAGGTACTATCCCCGCTCCCATAATCAAATTCTGCACATGATCCAGCCCAAAGTTAAGCACATTTAAGGCCCATTAATTCTGATGGAAAAGAGAGACACATACTCAGAACTTAGAATTGCCTCCCAGTATCACAAGTGACCTCCAGACTACATAGATTATTATTTATCTAACACATTTATTACACTTCTCCTGGAGAGAATGCATGCTTTGGAAGGCTGGCTGTATGACGTTATACCCAACTGAGTTCCCTCCCTTCCCTAAATCCAACCGCCTCATTTTCCACCCTTAAATCTCCAGATATTTCCAAACCCAGAACTGGGAACCCTATCAGAACTTCTATTGGACACAAATATTGAAGTGCTTAACTGTAGCTGGATATTTCTGTTCATCTGTGAGCTGCCTCATGCATTGTTTTTTTTCACATGCATCCCTAACATTTTTAAAGTATCTATAGCCCTAAAACGATGAATTGCAAATGCCATTAAGTTAGGCGTTTCAAAATGTGCAACTGATACTTGTCAGAGAGACAAAACGGACTGCAGCTCTGTGTGGGCAACCCCCTAACCCTTTGCTGCTGACTCTGTGAAACAGCCCCTTAGATACCTTTTCCCAATTGCAAATTCTCTGAGCGTTTCTCTCTGAAAATAAATCTCCCACTGGCGATTTTAAGTCTTCTCAGGTATACAGCTCTGAAGCCTGGGCTGTTGGGATGGATGTTTACATGCAAGTAGTTTTCCCCCGCAGTGCACATGAGGCTGACTTTTGCCATTAATCAGCCAAGCCACCTAAGAAATGGCTTGGGGCTGCACAACAAGGCAGGTGCTCAGCTTGCTCGTGGCCATTTGCAGTGCAGGAGATGACAGGCAGTGTTCCTGGAGCTGCCCCACTGTTAGATGGGCCCAAGCACTGTCATAGGCTTGGACCCAGACAGAGGCAGCACAGGAGAAGGCAATGCATGTACCTTGCTCGGGATGACAAAATACCTTGAACCAGCCCTGTCTATAATGTACACGAGTACCCCTGTTTGTTCCAAAGGTCCTGTTAGGTCAGGATAATATACCAGCCACCTGAAAACAGCCTGGTTTCTAGAGACATATGATTGGCACTTAAGAGCAATGAGCACAGGCCTTCTTCTCAGCACTCTAAGCATGTAAGTACATATAGGGATCCTCCCTTAGGTAGCTGACATTGAAAAGAGAGTGTGTAGACTCTTATCGCCAAAGTCTGTGCTGATCCTTGAGGTACAGCAAGCATGAATGCTCTGAAGAGCTCACCTTGGTTCCTGACATCCCCATTAATTTATGAGCTTTCTATGACCTGGACTCCCTCCCTCCAGTATAACAAACCTAAAGAAATTAAGTGGGAAATAAACAGCCTACCCAATGTGGATTTCAGCACTATTATGTCTTTCACACTGGACTCTGTTAGAAAAGAAAATACATAAACAAACATATGAGATGATGCAAGAGCTAAAACCAAAAATGCTCCCTGCCCATCTACGTTTTTCATCTTCCCGCAGACACCAGGGGCCTTTTCTCATCCCATTATCAGGCGTATGGACCTGATAGCCTAGACCTGCGCATGCTTCTCCAGAAATAACTTCTGTCAAGTTTAATGGGACTTATTTTTCAGATTGAAACATAAACTGTGTGTGGTGAGTATCCCCAGAATCTAGTAATCAGAAGTGGACTGACTCTGAACTTGGATATTCCATACATTACCAGTGGTGAATAGTTGTTGGTAGACCTGTCACCAGTGATGTAATGACATCGCCAGTGAGGGGTGCCCTCCTGCTGGTTGCCCGCTGTTCCTAGAAACCGTATCTGCATACACTGGCCTGCTATTTTATTTTGTTTCCATTATCTTGAAAACATATGTCACTGAAGCCCTCCTGTGCTCCAAATATTGGAAATCTTATGAAACATGCCTAGAAGATTTCACCATATGTCACCCATACCCGAGTGCACCTATCTTTTGGCTGGCAGGGCTTTTGTCAAAGAAGAATTCAAGGATTGTCTGGATGCAGTATTCTGCACCCGATATAGAAGTCCACTTGTGCTATGTTTGCACAGAGCCATAAAATACTTAACAGATGCAAAGGAAGACCAGGCACTTGTACATTTAGTGGTGTGTAGAAAGAAAGGTTTCAGAAGATGCAGCTTTTCTCACAATTGCACAAGAAAATGTAGAGAGGAGCTCTGCCTCCTTTGCATCGGGTCACCTTTATGCCAGTAGAAAAACATTACAGGACACATGTGGCTGCCACTGAAAATAGCAGTCTTGCATAGCGTTTTCCTGTCTCTCCATTACAAAATGAGTGAGGCTGCAAGTTTGCCTGGCCCAGAAAATGGCAACCAATGCATTGAATGCTGTGTGTTTCAAGTGCCGTCTAGACACAGCCAACTTCTGGCAACCCGTATAGTTTTCAAGGCAAGAGACTAACAGAGGTGGTTTCCCACTGCCTGCCTTGGCTTAGCAACCTTGGAATCCCTTGGTGGTCTCCCAAATAGTAACCAGGGCCAACCCTGCTTAGCTTCTGAGATCTGAGGAGATTGGGCTAGCCTAGGCTGCCCAGGTTAGGGCACACTCAGTGGAGGTGGGGAAATGTGCAATGCAACGATGTGAAAGCATACATGCTGCCATTATCATGGGATACAGGCAGCATCCTGAAGACACGGGCTTGCTTTCTGCATCAGCCACATGCTTTCTACAACATCTGCTCTGGGCCTGAATCTACCCAGTAGAATCTTTGGAATCTTTTGTCTGCAGTCATCCCTGAGTGGTTTGGCGGTGCCTACAGAGTCAGTATTCTTAGGAAGCAACTTGGATTTGTAACAACTATATATGAGTGGAATGTACATAAGAACTGAGTCTGGATTTCTTTGTCCTTTTTTTGTTTTCATGGATATCTCTGTTCCTGATTTGAAAATCAAAATAAGGAGTGTTAATGCAGGACAAATCTCCCCAGTTCAGAAGCGCTTAGGGCATTAGAAGTATTTGCTGTCTGAAATTAGTTTTCTATACCACCTGCTGTATGAGATACAAAAGCCTTTCCCAATTAATGTTTCAAACTGCTCTGCACCCGGTTGAGGAGGAAAGCATTTATTATCATGTTCATCAGCATTTTAGACAGCAGTATGATTATTTATGTGGCATCACTAATGCGCGTGGCCTTTAATGTAGTAAAGAATGATGCAGCTGGATGAATACAGGGAGCAAAAGACGGGAGGAATCAAAGATAAAGCCAAGGCTTCAAGCCTGCTTAGTGATACTTCTAGTTCGGGAGAAACACAGAAAGTTTTTTCCCTGTGTTTAGTGTTTTCCCCCACTTTGATTTGCATTTGTAGTTTTTGATATTCAATTTATTTTTCATTTCCACTGTGTTCAGTTTTCTACCTGTCATTTTGGCCCCGACACCCATCCAAATAGTGTTGCCAACTCCAGGTTGGTAAATTCCTGGAGATTTGGGAATGGAGCCGGGCCGGGGGGGGGGCTGAGGAAGGGAGGAGCCCAGCTGGGTATAATATCATACAGTGAACTTTTCAAAGCAGCCATTTTCTCCATCGTCTGAAGATCAGTGTAATTCCAGGAGATCTCCAGGCCCCACCTGGAGGGTGGCAGCCCTACATCCAAATGGGATGAAACTGCATAGGGATTGTACCCTTCCCTTATCCTCCCTGCCAGAGTTTAGATTCACATCCCTACTGTATAGGCAGAGGGAAAGTAGGTACTTTGGCAGAGTTGGTAGAAATAATACATGAAATGCCACTGGGCACCATACTGAGCAGTAAGATAGAGACATCTCTGTACTGGGCATGTAGAGACTGGGATTGGGTGAGGACAGAGCCATCACACAGCCCCATGCCCTGCTCCATGACATCAGGGTGTGGAGCTTCTTCTCCTCTCCTTTCCCCTAAGAGCAGAACTGTGGGTGGGAAGGCAGCATGGTACAGCCTGATCGCATCAGACCTCGGAAGCTACGCAGGGCCAGTACTTGAATGGGAGGCCACCAAGGAAGGCTCTGCAGAGGAAGGCAACGACAAACCCCCTCTGCTTCTCACTTGCCTTGAAAGCTGCTTGCTGGGGTCACCATTAAAAAGGTAAAGGTTCCCTTGCTCGAAAGCCAGTCAAATCCGACTCTAGGGTTGCGGTGCTCATCTCCGTTTCAAAGCCGAAGAGCCAGCGCTGTCCGAAGACGTGTCCGTGGTCATGTGGCCGGCATGACTAAACACCAATGCGCACGGAACGCTGTTACCTTCCCACCGAAGTGGTCCCTATTTATCTACTTGCAATTTCTTGCTTTCGAACTGCTAGGTTGGCAGGGTCACCATTAGTCGGCTGCAATTTGATGGCGCTTTACATACACACGAGAGCAGAATGACACATAACTACACATTGTTTATTGTTCCGTAATCTTAACAAAGTGTGTTATTTTTAACTGAATGGAGTCCTCCCCATTGGGGTGATGTAGTCTCTCTGTGGCTTACCGACTGCAGTGAATACATTATTGAGAAAAGATGGCAGACATTGTCTGGTATCCAGGGAAGGGGCAGATGTAACTCTTGTCTCTGTTGCCTCCTTCCAGGGGATACAAGCAAACTGTTTACCTACCCCAGCTGCAACACTGCACATGGGGTGAAGTAAAATATTTGCCTGTATTCTGCCTCCCCCCAGTCAGCAGTGCTGCCCGTAGGCCCAGTACCAAACCCATCCATCCCTAGCTCAGTCAAGGAGGCAGCCCTTCCCAAACTAGAAGCCAACAATACGACTAGGAGTCTTTGAAAAGAAAGACCTATCAACACAATTCGTCTCTCTGGCAAGATCTGTTTAACTTTGCTGGTTGCTAAATTTCCCTACCAGTTACACATCTGCTAATGTAACCTGAGGTTGTGGGCACACGCGCCAGAAAAAACGGGGGGGGGGACGAGGCTATTTCCTTCAGAGGAATTTGACCCGCAGTTGTGTGATCACACAGTCTTTGGAAGCTGCAAGCACAGCCCGCCACTGCGAGATCAGACGCAACCACGAGTGAGTCAGGGTTTTTTTTTGCCATTTGTTTCCAATGCGCTTAAACGAGGAATCGATTAATCGTATCTCCGCACTGAGGGCTCCCTGTGGAGTTTGTGATGATGTGCATACTGAGAAGGGGGGGGGGACAACAGCACGGAGTCGGGATGGACTGATCAGACCATCCTGACGCCATGAGAGCGCGCTGCGGCAATAAGACATGGGAAAATCTGTCCATGGCCCGTCGCAACCCGTTTTCTACCAGATTTTCCCCAGTGTCTTTTAACTCCGCTTCTGCAGTGGAGCAGAATGGGTTGCCAATGGCTGCAGGGCATTTCCCAGATGTTGTCTGATCGCACCCTTTAAATCCACCCAGCATTCTTCTTCTTCTAATGCTGTGTCATATAAAGAGAACATAAGCTGTTTTATAGATGGTATATTACACCAGATAGATTAGCTAAACAAAATAGTAACTGTTCTGATAAATGCTGGAAATGTAAAAATAAGATTGGCTCTTTTTATCACATGTGGTGGCTATGTGATGTTACAAAGAGGTATTGGAGATGGATTCATGAGATAATGGAAAAAATAACAAGAACTAATATCCTGTTTACTCCAGAGATACTGTTATTGAATATATTTCCGAAAGACTTTGATAAAGCAGATAGGTATTTGATCGTTCATATGTCGACAGCTGCAAGGATAGTATATGCCAAATATTGGAAAATAATGGAAATACCAACGAAACACGAGTACGTGAATAAACTATTTGAAACGGCGGGAAATGACAAACTGACACTTGAGATGAGAGCCGGTACAGAATGGACTTTTCAAAAAACTTGGAAGAGATTCTATGATTGGTATCATGTAAACGCAACTGATAGATAAATGTAGTAATTTGAGAACGCAGAAAACATAAGCTTAGTAAAATAGATAATGAATTTAGAAATTTAATAAGCAGAAGAAGTGATAAAAGTCTCTTGTTATATGTTATATGTTGTTGGGGGTAGTTGGGTGTTGTTTGTATGTATGTCTGTAGTATATAATGGGGGAAAAGAATAAAAATGTACCCTCGGGTACTTTAAAAAAAAAAATCCGCCCAGCATTCACGCCTATGGCAGGTCTAGTTGTGTGTATGATTGCGGCCCAAGTTACTTTCCTTTTAAGATGTCGTTTTATCTCAGTGGTTAAGAAGAGTTTAGAATTGAGAGAAATGGCTCCAATCAGCCTGCATTCAAAGAGTACAAAGGTCATGGAGGGCGAACAGTTAGCAACGATGCTCCTGAAGTATCAACTGCAAGGGCACAGCCCTCAGTCAATCTGGCCAGCAGCAGGAGAGAGAAGGCCTGAAGCAGGATTAAAGGGAGCTGCTGATTTCATTGCTTGCTCACGCCAAAGAAAAAGCACAGGAGCA